GTCCTCTGGTCTGATTTCACATGGCTGTTTTTATGAGTCTCCTGAATAAAATGCTGGTGTCTGTTATAGTTAAGAAAACTTGCTTGCTGAATTCATAGAATCATAGAAAAGTGAATTTGGAAGGGGCCTACAGGGCGATCAAGTCCAACCCCCTGCTCAATGCAGGAATACAATCAAAGCATATCTTCCAGGTGACTATCTAAGTTTTTCTTGAATGCCTCCAGTGTTGGAGCACTCACCAACTCCCGAGGTAACTGCTTCCACTGTCATACTGCTCTAACACTTAGGAAATTTTTCCAGATCAAAATCTGACTTCCTTTAACTTGAGCCCATTGTTGCATGTCCTACACTGTGGAATGAATGAGAACAGATCTTGCCCCTCCTATGAATTATAGCCTTTCAAATTACTATTCATACATAGAAAACATACAGAACGACAATAAAAGGACCTAACAAAACTAACATAGATAATAAAAGACAACAAAACTAAGCATTCATGCTACATATATGGATCAGAGATTTCGCGATCATATGGTCATCTAATATCATCAAAGGGTTCGTGTAAGCACTTGTTTGCTACAATCTTTTCTTCCCCTAAATTCCTCTCTTTTCCTGAGCCCAATTATATACAGTGGACCCTTGACTTACAGACGGCTTGACTTACAGACTTTTTGAGTTACAGACTTCTCTAGCCGCAAAATTTAGGTTTGACTTGCAGACTGAGATTTGACTTACAGACCAGAAAAAAACCAAAATGGAACAAAAACAGCCTGTTACGGGATTAATCGGTTTTCAATGCACTGTAGGTCAATGGAGACTTGACTTACAGACTTTTTGACTTGAGAACCGCCTTCCAATACGGATTAAGTTCTCAAGTCAAGACCCCACTGTATCAGCTTCCAGCTTTCGTTTACAAAGTGTCTCGGTTGATCCCGTACTGCCTCTGAAAGCATATGTAAAGTAGCTTCTTTAATAGCTCCTTCATCGTTGGTACTTCTCCATTCTTCCATTTTTGGGCCCAGAATAACCTGGCTGCTGTATATATATATATATATTAGACTATATTTTATTTTTTCCTCAATAATCTCTGGCATTAAGTTCAATAATAATTTTTGGGCCCAGAATAACCTGGCTGCTGTATATATATATATAGTAGACTATATTTTATTTTTTCCTCAAGAATCTCTGGCATTAAGTTCAATAATAACATTTCACATTTAAAACTTTGCTGAACAATGTCTTGTGACTTTTCCCAAACCTCTAACCTTTTTTTTTTTTACTTTTTTGCATGACCACCATACATGATAAGTCCCTGGATTTTTTTTTTAACATTTCCAACAAATTTTGCTGATCGCTTCTGACATTTTTGACAATTTTACTGGAGTAAAATGCCATCTGTGAAACATTTTAAGGATGTTCTCTCTAAGATTGACTGGTTTACTATCTGGATAATTGAAATCTCCCATCACTACTATGTTGTGTCTCTTTGAAATCCCTGCAATTTGTTTTTCAAAAATTTCATCCGCTTCCTCTCTTCAATTGGGCGATTGGTTGTAGACTCCAACTACCAAGTTCCTTTTGTTTTTTGCCCCAACTAGATTGATCCAGATGCTCTCGATGTGACAGCCACTCTCCTCCTGCTGTATTTCTGTGCAGGAATGTGTATTTTTGACCTATACTGCAAATCCATCTCCCTTTTTATTCTCTCTGTTCTTTTTGATTAGTTTATTTCCCTCGATTGCTGTGTTCCAGTCATGGGAGTCATCCCACGAAGTTTCAGTTATTCATATCAAGTCATAGTTACCCTCCTGAATTAAAATTTCCAGTTCTTCTTGTTTGTTTCCCATACTCCTGCCGTTTGTATACAGACACTGAAGGGTGTATGATTTGTGGCCTGTTTGTCTTTGTACATTTTTTAAAATATTATGATTATGATTGTTATATTTATTATTGTGATTATTATTGTTAATGTTATTGTTGTTGTCCTTTTGATCAATTTGGTCCATTCCTCTTACTGTGTGTAAAGCTTCATCTACCCTTAACTCTGAGCTTTGGTCTCCCTTCCCCTAATTTACGCTTATTTGCTGTAGCCCCCAGTGCCTCCCCTCATACCCACTTTATCTTCCGAACAACCCTAGTAGGCCATGCTGAGAGGGAGTGAGTGGTGTAAGGTCATCTGATAAGTGTCATAGCTTTTGGGTGACTGGAACCTGAGTTTCCCGAGTTCTGATTCCTATGCTCTAAATAAGCCCCATAGTGCTTAAAGCAATCTCTGGGTTGTTTACAATTTGTTTATGCAGGTTACACATTGCTCCCCACTCCAGCAAACTGGGTACTCAATGTACTGACCTTGGAAGGATGGACGGCTGAGTGAAGCCTTGATGTGGCTACCTGGGATTGATGGGCTACCTGTGGCTTCCCCTAGCCTGATTCCTATGCTCTAAATAAGCCCCATAGTGCTTAAAGCAATCTCTGGGTTGTTTACAATTTGTTTATGCAGGTTACACATTGCTCCCCACTCCAGCAAACTGGGTACTCAATGTACTGACCTTGGAAGGATGGACGGCTGAGTGAAGCCTTGATGTGGCTACCTGGGATTGATGGGCTACCTGTGGGTTCCCCTAACCTATCTCCCCTTTTCTTCTTTTTCTTTTCTCTCCTTCCTCTTCTCCCCCCTCCTCTTTCTTTTTTCCTTTCCCAACTTGGATTAATCTGGATTTTATCTTAGTTTATTTTTATATTATATGTAAATTTCCCAGAGTAGACAAGTTCTAGATGGGTGGTATATAAATCAATCAATCAATCAAACAAACAAACCTGATTTGTGAGCAGAGTTTTGGCCGCAGTATTGCAGCTTAACTACTGTGCCACAAGGCTCCTAAATACTGTACTCTTCCAATCGTTAGAAGTGTGCTTGCTTGTTTGTATGTTTCTCATATGCAGCCCTTTGAGCTGGAGTCATTTACTATAAAAAAAGAAAAATGAAAGTCTAGAGATGGCTGTACATTGGTCATTAGGAGAAACTGACTAGATATTGACCAATAATAGAATGTGGGGCACTGAATGCTGGGGATGGGGAAGGGACTGATTGGATAGAGTGCCTTCTACTTTGCTTGTATTTGTCTTCTGTTCCTACTTAGTACACAACTTTTTTCATTTGTATGTCAGGCTGGATTGCCTGCAAACCCTGATCTCAGTGGGAAAGGCAATTGCTATGCTCTGTGGGTGAATGTACCTCCTCCAGGGGCCACATGTTCATAGGACTGGTATTATTAGAACTACAGCCTGGAAAAGTTACTCTTTTGAACTATTGGAGGGAGAAATCATGTCAGTCTGTTGCAGTGAAAACTACAAGAGCCTTGTGGCACCTCAAAGGCTAACACATCTTCTTTGGCACGTGTTATCATGGACTACAACTGAGTTTGTCAGATGCATGGTGTGAACCTGAAGCCTTAGAATTTATACTCAACTGTGATGGAGAAAGAGAAATATGGAAACATGATAGTCATGCAAAAAAAATAATGCTAGCACGGTGATCACACAGTTGTGCGTGATGACTTTATCCAAATGTAGGTAAGCATATTTTACACATGCATTGTGTAAAGAACAACAACTTTGTTTAAGCTATCAGAACAATTAGAGCTGAAAAGGGCCAGAGAGAGAAGGAATACAAAACTGACAAGGACCCAACCCCCAAGACAACTCTGCAGAGATGGGCTGATCAACATATGTGCTTGTTACCCATCACTACTGATGTCACCCATACACATTAAGATAATCATAATGCCAAAGTCTTTTGCATTTCTATCACATTTCACCTATCTCTTCCTCATTCACTTAATCGTGTTTACCTCTGATGTTTCACTTTGTGCATCTGATAAAGTTGGCACAAAGATGTTTATGCCAGATACAACTGGTTAGTCTTTAATATGCCACAAGACTCTTTATTGTCTTCTGGATTACAAAGCCCAGAATTCCCTAGCTGCTGGCATGGTGGCTGTGGAATTCTGTGAATTATTACTTTCTTAGTTATATAAAAGTGAAAAGCACACTTTTGAGTTCTGTAGGATTTTTCTTCAAGGCAGTTGTCATATAAACAGAGGAGGGAGGTAAAGAAATAGAGTGTGATTTTAAATAGCCAGTACAGTGGTATTAGTGTAATAAGTAACAATGGCTATTTCCCCATAAAAAAAAAACCAGCAGTATAAAATCTAGTAATGACTTAGTTCTTTCTTACCATTTTGTAAAACACACAATTCTCTTGTGAGCAGACACAGGAGAAGTGGGAGATTGTACCTGCTTAATCTGGGCTCAGGATAGTATGGCCCTTTGATGGATGTTGTTGCACTATAAGCCCCATCACTGGCTGATGGGAATTGCAATCTAATACAGGGTCACGTATTCCCCTAGCTTTGCACTGATTTTCAACTAAAATCATTTACAACATCAGATTGCAGTTCTGTACTTACCTATTGCCACATGCCGTCAAGTTGGAACTAACTTATAGCAGCCTTAACATGGCTTTCAAGGTGAGATAGTTAAGGAGTAGCTTTACCACTCCCCCAGTCAATTTCATGGCTGAGTAGAGATTTGAACTAAGGAGTGGCTTTACCAGTTCCACTCCCACCAGTGAATTTCATGGCTGAGTAGAAATTTGAACTCAGGCCTCCTACACCCTAGTCTGTCACTCTATCCACTGCACCTCACTGGATATCTACACCCACTTTCTAGAGCTCATTTGAACTCAGTGTTGCTTGCTTCTGAGTAGATACGTGTACTATTGCGCTGTATGATGCTTGTGTTAAACAAGTTCCAAATTCAAAGGCTGTTTTTAATAGCTGTACATGCCATAAATGCTTCACTTTACAGTTTTGTGATTAAATTTAGTAGGATTATGTAATAGTTACTTTATAAAGAAGTACTAATTTTGAAATCAGCAGAGTAAAATATCTTTTCTATTTCAGTTTGCGGTAATTATTTGTTTTTCTCTTTTTTTCCAGTTGAAAGATGCATGAGTGTTATGCAGTCTGGGACTCAGATGGTTAAACTGAAGAATGCAGCCAAAGGTCTAGTGCGTCTTTTCTACCTGGATGAGCACAGAACCTGCATCCGATGGAGACCATCCAGGAAAAGTGAAAAGGCCAAAAGTGAGTGCATTTTTAAAAGTAGAGGGAGGTGAGACAGCAGTTTCACAATAAGCTGTTTACTTCCAGTGAGGTTTCACAATTCTGCAAGTTGCCAGCCAGCTTGCTCCTTTTTTTGGTGGTTGGTCATCAGGAAGTGAATAACAAGTTGGGAGCTCACATTGTGAGAACACAGCAACTGTGAGGAATATTTCTTTGGATCAATACCATTTCTCACTTTCTGATGGTGAAGCAGCTCTTATCTGCTAGCTATTTCTGTCCTAAGCTACTTTAACTTGTGTGTCTTAGATTTCATTTTTTTTTTCCAATTTTTCATGCACTGGTACATAAGTAACCCTTCTGAACCTTTAAACAAGGCACATCATATCATTGTCATTAATAGGAGTTAATGTTGGTGCTGATGATCTTAATTGTGATCAACAGAGAGAAGGTTTGGGCAGGGCTGGCGCAAGGCACATAGTTGCCTATGAGAAGAATTAGACTTGCCTTCTTTAATGTATGGAGGTTGACTGTTTGCCTATGAGAAGAATTAGACTTGCCTTCTTCACTTTAATGTACGGAGGTTGACAGATATATAATAATTATGTGCCATCAAGTCAGTTCCGACTTATGGTAACTCCTTTCTAAGTCTTTTGAGATAGAGAGTATTCTCTATCTCAAAATGGCTTACAATTCCCTTCTTCTTGGGATGCTCTGGGGCTTTGTAGCTTGCCCAAGGTGAGACAGTTTGGGTCTTATTCAGGGAGACCCAATGGGGAATTGAACTCCCAACCTTTCTGGCTTTGCAACCAGTTACATAATTCAGTGAGCTATAGTTGAGTCTTAATTCAGTACTGCAGCATCTTGCATGATGCTCTGGGGCTTTGTAGCTTGCCCAAGGTGAGACAGATTGGGTCTTATTCAGGGAGACCCAGTGGGGAATTGAACTCCCAACCTCTCTGGCTTTGCAACCAGTTACCTAATTCACTGAGCTATAGTTGAATCTTAATTCAATACTGCAGCATCCTGCACTTCTGCTGAGGGCAGGAATGATATTTTTGGTTACAGAGTTCCGTCTTCGGCTTTGTAGCTTGCCCAAGGTGAGACAGATTGGGTCTTATTCAGGGAGACCCAGTGGGGAATTGAACTCCCAACCTCTCTGGCTTTGCAACCAGTTACCTAATTCACTGAGCTATAGTTGAATCTTAATTCAATACTGCAGCATCCTGCACTTCTGCTGAGGGCAGGAATGATATTTTTGGTTACAGAGTTCCGTCTTCCAAAAGGCTAATGACCGAGGACTTGTTATCAGTGTCCTCCAGCATCTGTCACTGGAAGTGGTTGCCTTACTCTGCCTAATGGTTGGACCGGCCATTGTTGTGTGGGAGTCACTTCCTGCTTCTTTAGCTATTATTAAGGTACTGGGCAGTGGAAGACAGAAGGGCCTGGAGTGCTCTGGTCCATGGGGTCACAAAGAGTTAGACATGACTTAACGATTAAACAACAGCAAAGGTACTGGGGGCCTGATGTGTCTATAATCCAGTGTTGTTTTCACTTAACTCTTAGAAGCTCTAGTCAGCAAAACATTGTGGGAATCAAGTCCAGAAGTCTACAGGACCAAAAATTGAGAACGACTGGTATAGTTCATAGAGTAAATGTAAGCTTAAGTGAAATCTATTTTATCATTTCTTTCTTAAAGATTTATCTCCAAGAAGATAGAGAGTTCATTTTTCAAGTCTCCTGTTCACTCATGCCTTTGTGTGGGTGGGATTTCACACAGTATCAAATAAGGACCTTATCGAAGGCTGAAAAAGAAACCTACTACCACAGCCTCTCCCTCCTAAAGGATTTTTTGGGCTCAGCTCCTTAGATGTTAAATTTGCCATAATCACGTTGAGGACCTAAAACATCCAGTCCTTCCTTTTTAATTCTCCCTGATCCAATCTTCTTCTACAGTTGTAATTGATTCTATCTACAAAGTCACTGAAGGCCGGCAATCGGAAATCTTCCATCGCCATGGTGAAGGCAACTTTGACCCAAGCTGCTGCTTTACTATATACCATGGTAACCACATGGAGTCCCTGGATCTGATAACTTCTAACCCGGAGGAAGCTCGCACTTGGATCACTGGACTAAAGTACCTGATGGCTGGGATCAGCGATGAGGACTCCCTTGCAAAAAGGCAGAGAACACACGACCAATATCCTTTCATGTTCTGATACTTGTTTAATCTAGCACCAAAAATATTCCTCAAGGCACAGAGCGTGTCCTAGGTTTCTATGATGGAATTCTAGAACTAAGGGTGTTTGCGAATTAAAGTTAGGACCACCCAAGAGATTTTGCTGCTTCAAGCAAAGGGCAAAAAGTGTTCCCACGTTTTTAAGGACAGAAGCTCCTAAGACTGGTAGCTGAATCTTTCTTTAACACTAACAAGCAGCAGGCAAGTTTAGGGTGTGTAATATAGTCTTTGTGGCATTACAGATCTGTTGTCCAAGACAGGAAAATAGCCCAGGGCTGGCCCTGTTTATCTGCCATTTGAGGTGATTGTTCCATTACAAAATGACAGGGCCAGTCATTTGTTAAATTCTGCTGTAATCCCATTTTAGATAGTCACATTCCTTCCATGTTATTTTATTTTGCTTTATTTTATGTTTATGATCTCTTTACATCAACAACAAAGAAATTATGGACCACTAGCTTGGATGTTGACCTTTGTTTTCTCTTTGTAATTGTGGGAATGCTTCAAATGGTTTGAAAAGGCAATTTGATGTGGAAGGGAGTATGCAGTTCTTCCCCAGTCCTTCCTCAATAACATTGGCTCAATTGGAAGATACCACCTCACTCCGTGGTATCTTCCAATGGCATGTAGCATCTATCTGAGATGGCAGAGTTGTATGTTTTTATAGGATGACAGAAGATCAGTTAGTTATAATTGTATTAATCGACTATTTAAAACTTCCCTCAGAGTCTTAGGTATGTGTGTATGTGTACACCAGCACCCCTGAGCTGTGACTCAATCCATGTAACTTTATGGTGTTGTAAAAGGAGAAGGAGAGAAAATACATTTTGTTGACTGGATTGCAAATAGTTTTGTTGAGAAGAAAAGCAGAAGGGAAAAATGGAAGACAAATATTAAAATACAAAGGTAATACATAGTGAGACAATTTTGTGGTTTGAGGCCAACATATCTCAGGTTTTAATGAATTATTTTATTTTCCCTTATCATTTTATTATTTTATCACTTGGTTCTATTGTGTCATAGTTTTCACTGGCAACTGTGATTTTTTTCTTTGGATGAAATGCAGTTTTTTAAAAAAACCCTCAACATTGTTACATAAACAAATAAACTTCAGCCTAGATGAGCAGAATGAATGTTGCAATGTTGGAGTTCAGTTGGGTGGAGGTAAACCTATTATGTAAATAGTCTCTCAGCCTAGTTTGATGCTCTGAGGAAAGCACTTTCTTCTCCCTCTGAACAGGAAGGATCATGACCCAGTTGGATTGGATCCAAGTTGCCAGGACATGAAAGCAATGGCTGTTACCTTGTACCTAATCATTCCCATTTCCTAATTTCAGCTCAAGACTGTCACAAGACAGAGAAATACTTGCCAGCCTTTTGTGGCAAATTATAAGCTCCATAAACTCCTTCTGCATCTTCTATATTTATCCCTGACTTTTGGAGGTTGCACGCGGCTAGCTCTGCGTTTGCTTGTGCTGAAACGTTACTTCAAGCCTTGTCGGCATGATTGGTTCTGGCAGATGGGAGACGGGGGGGGGGAATGACCCCTGTAATGGTTGCAGATGGAGTCAGAACATAACGGAAGCCACCAGGGGATACAGCTTCATTGGGGGGGGGGGGGGGGGTGCATCTGCATCTGCTGGGGATGAGGTGGGGAGAGATTTTCCAAAGTGGAAAGAGTGGAGGCCCAACTGGGGAAGAGTTTCTGGGATTCAGTAGTTGACTGAGAGTAGTCATACTGCACAAACAATACTGTAGAACTGGAGGAAGCCCCTGAGGGCCAAAACAGGCATGGTTTAAGTGGACTTAAGTGGACTTTCTCCTTATGTAGCACTGGGACTGTGGCATGGAGGATAAGCCCTTTAACACGTTGGCCCCTGATCTCTTACCCCTCTACTATGTCGGCTGTTTGCAGGTGGAGTTCCCTTCCCTTTAGCAGCAGTGTGACCTTTCCTCCCACTATGAGGAGTACACGTGTCTAGGGAGAGGAAACAGAAATATCAGCCTTCTTCACTTTGGTGCCCTTCAGATGGGGTAGACTATAACTCATACCCAGGACTAGCTGTTCATTGTCTCAGCTGGGAATGATGGTAGTTTTCATCAGCACACCTGGGGGAACACCATGCTGTGAAAGGCAGTGTTTTTGTGTTGTCTTTTATAGGGAGAAGCATCCGATGTGAACTGCCTCTCCATGTCCTGTTTTGTGGTCACTCTGTGCCTGGTTTTCATATAGGGTGACTCTTTACTTTTGCATTTATTTTCAATAATTCAGAAGGAACACCAAGAACATTTTGTCAAAGCAGTCTACCCTTTCCTTAATTTAACTGCACTTGGGTGAAGCAGACCTTTGAGGAGGCAGACAAGAATGGCGACGGCTTGCTGAATATTGAAGAGATCCACCAGCTGATGCACAAACTGAACGTCAACCTGCCCCGCAGGAAAGTAAGACAGATGTTTCAGGTGGGCATCATTTCATTTTCACTTGGGAGGCTGAGTGTAAGTCTCTCAGAAAAAGAAGCCTGGGCTTATCAATGAAGATTAATGGGCAGGCTGTTCAGTGTGATAAATTGTCCATAGAGAAAAGGCAAGGAGGGTCAGCCTAGCGTGCTGTGTTATGTCAGCATCACGCTATGCCCAAATTCCTGACATCTGGCATTAGCCCTCCCTTAAGGAATTATAACCTTCAATTAATTGCAGACTGGACACCGAGTTCTTAATAGGCTTCGTGACAAGGCCAATGATTAATCTCTGGTAGACCCAATTACTTTTGAGGGTCATTTTTGTGTTTCTATGCCACCAGATTCAATGAGAGTAGTAGGGTTATTAATTTCATTTTGCATGCAGAAGAATGTGTGGGAGCCAAACAAAATATAATAAAGAGATCTGGGGGGTACACATACCCCCTCTCAGACAACCTCTAAAGCCCATGCCCTAATTTATTTTTTGATACAGATTTCCCCTCACAGATTTGTGGGGGGCGGACACTTACCCTGGGAGGGCAGGTTGGCCTATTTAAGGCCTAAGGAGTGCCTTTCAAACAACTAGACTTCATGTCTGCTTTTGAGAAGAGGCCAGCTTCCTCAACTTTAAATAGACTGGCTTGCTCCCTTCCACAGCCAAACTGGTCCTCACACCATCCTGGAAGTATGGGAGGCTTTTAGACTGAAAGAGTGGCCAGCAAAGGAATGCTAAAGCAAATGAATAAATACCAAGAAGCCATAAACCCCACAAAATGAAAAACGGAGCCACTGCTTCCAAATTCAGAACAGCCATGATGACCTCCAGCCTCCACTGGGACAAGAATAAGAAGAAAGATAAAGTTTTTATTAGGGATAGAGGAATAAATATAAGTGGCTATGAAAGTGTGCATTGGAATGGTTTGTGGCCTTTATGCCTTATATTAGCAGTGAGGGCAGCCTGGTGGGAGAATGTTAAGCCATTCAAGCCATCTTGAACTTGCTGGATGTAAATATTAAATATACATACAAACATGATTCCATGATAACTGAGCTACTACATGAGCTGGATAGCTCAGTGATAGCTCCTTCTATCCATGTGGAAGTTATATAGCCCCCACATCACGCTGGTTTCTTTTTATTTGTTTGTTTATTTTTTGGGACGTGGTGGCTCTGCGGGCTAAACCGCAGAAGCCTGTGCTGCAGGGTCAGAAGATCAGCAGTCGTAAGATCGAATCTACGCGATGGAGTGAGCGCCCGTTGCTTGTCCCAGCTCCTGCCAACCTAGCGGTTTGAAAGCATGCAAATACAAATAGATAAATAGGGACCACCTCGGTGGGAAGGTAACAGCGTTCCGTGTCTAAGTCGCACTGGCCATGTGACCACGGAAGATTGTCTTCGGACAGAACGCTGGCTCTATGGCTTGGAAACGGGGATGAGCACCGCCCCCTAGAGTCGAACACGACTGGACAAAAATTGTCAAGGGGAACCTTTACCTTTACCTTTACCTGGTTTATCTGAGGCTGATGGCCAACTGAGGCTTTTTTTGTTCTGAGGGAAAAAAACTCAGTAAAAAAATAAATTATGTGCATTGTCCATTTCATTTTTTTGGTGTATGTTTGGCACCCTTTGTCAATATGTTTTGCTTTGCCTGGATAGCAAGGCAAATCTGTCTTGGACTGTAATGAGTCTAAATAAACCAGAACTTGGAAAAGCTGGATTTTCTAGACTCCAGGTCTTACAATTCTCCAGGGGTTTCTGAGATTTACAGTCTGAAAAGTAACTTTTCTATTATCTATGTCAAAAATATGTCAGGTTTTACTTCAGTGATCTCTTTAAAACTAACAATTTGGATACACTGTACTATTGTTAACTTGAGTTAACTTTAGCAGTTAAAAAATAAATAAAATAAAAACAGCAGCCACTGTTATTTTTTTCTGGGCAACCAGAATGGGTCTCCCCTCCACTCTCAATACTGCCAGTTTCTCTTTTGGTCTCCGATAACGTATCTTGCAGAGAAGACAGAGCTCAGTCAAAATGCTGACGCATTATCCTGTCTGAGGCTGATAGCATGGTCATTTGGGACAAGACATCCATGCCAGTTTAGGTTGTAGCAGCAAGAACAAGATTGAGGAAATAACAGTGCTGCTCTACTAGAACCCATCAAATATCTTGGGGTCTGTACCTGCAAAAGGAAATGAATCTCTCCCACCCCCCAATCTAATCCATAGGAAAGGCAAGTCTCTGCTGCCGGTTCAAATTATAAAAATAAAATCCAGTCAGCATGGTTTCTCGTATTTTGCATCATTGTGTTTTTACCTCTCCCTGGTGTAAGACAAAGAAGAACAGGTGACACAAAGCTCCACCTTGCTTTTTCATTTCACTTATTTTCTGTGTGGTAAGGAAGAAGAATTAAGAAGCATTCACTTATGAGGGTTTTTTTTAAAAAAAAAAATCTTATTTAACTGTTGCTTTTATTGTCTGAACTGACAAACTGTGGTTACTAGTAATTATGGTTTGACTGAATCAGGCAGTATTTCAAGGAACTGTTTTATTTTCCACAAGTTGGGGCTTGGGAAACCTGATGAACTAGTGAATCAAAATCAGAAGTGAAAGTTTCCATCCTCCTCTCTGTGGTAAAGCCAGAAGAGAAAAGAGTGATATTGTGTATGGGCTGAAGCTTTTCCTAAACTCATTCATCTCATACTAAATGCTGAGCTGTCCATGCTGAGAGGAAAGCTGTGTTACAAGCAGCTCTGGGTCAGACTTTGAGTGCAGGTTAGCACAGATTGGTGGAAAAACAACAACACTGTTGGAAAAAAAAATCCCTCCCATAATCCTGAAAGCAGATCTTGATGCACCCTTTTGCATATACAGTGGTGCCCCGCATGACGATAATCCATTCCATTGAAATCGCTGTTTAGCGAAATCGTTGTCATGTGAAAATGCTTTCCTCATTGGAATGCATCGAAACCCGGTTTAATGCGTTCCAATGGGGAAAATACCTCGTTGTCGAGTGAAGATTGCCCATAGAGAAGCCATTTTGAGAGCGCTGATCAGCTGTAAAAATGGCTGCCCTGCGAAGCATGGGTCCGGAAAACACAGGGCAGCTATTTTGTGAAGCCGATGATCATCTGAAAAAAATTGTCATCTTGCGAACAAATGGTTCACAAAGCACGGACATAATCAACGTCCAGCGAAAATCCCCCATTGGAATGACTGTTTTACGAATCGCTATAGCGATTGTAAAAAGTCATTGTTATGCAGATTCGTTGTTTAGCGGGGTTGTCGTCTTGCGAGGTACCACTGTACTTTTAGTAGTATGATTGGCTCTGTCTTGCGGTTGATTTAACACTGGTTCAGCTAGCCCTCTGCTCATGGGGTTCATGTCACTCTGCTTGGCGTACAGTTCAAATGATGTCCACCCCCTTATACTCTTTGGGTGTAATAAACATGGCTTTGTCTGTATGATAGAGCAAATGTGAGATGACAGGCATGTTTGTGATTTATTTTATGAAGGCTACAGTTCCATAAAATCCGAAATTCATTTTATAAAACCTGGGCTTTTGTTGGAGAGGAAAAAAAGGTTATTATTCCTAAAAGCATAAGATAGAACTATTCTGCTTTCTGGTCTTGAATGACTTACAAGCATTCCAGAACATGAGAAGGGAAAGCAAATTTTTTCAGTCCGTTGCTGTTAGGACTTACAAAGAGAGCGTATTTTGCAAGAACTCCTGGGAAATGTTCTGTAAATCCCAAGCCAATCCTCTTAAGCAGATGCTCAAAGTTGTTACTGCCTTTAAAAAAAAGCTGCAATAACATACAGTAAGAACTCTTTTCTTCATGGAGGACAGATTCAGTGGCAATCAAGAACAGAGTTAGTTTTTTTAATTCCCACTGCCCTCTCCCATATGGAATCCCGATTTTGGAGTCATGTTTTTGAACAATATTTTGGTAACAAAAGTGAAGCAGATGTGATTATGTTCTTTAATCACTGACAATCTACACCCTTAGATAAGGGTACCAGCAGGGAAAGATTTTCAGTAATTAAAGACTTCCTGCTTCCATCCCATGTCTTCCACTTAATGAAACGGATTATGTGTGTGTTGGACAAGCTGTAGAATGGAGGAAAGAAGTCATTAATTAATGGAAACCTCCTCCTGCCAATCATATCATCATCACCCTTCTGCAGATGTAACTTTTGCAACAGGTTTTTGGTTTGCATAACCCATGGCAATGTGTTGAATCAAATTGAACAACTTAAATATTCATAAATATTTTTTTCCTTCTGTTGCTATTCTGTCATGCTACTTCAGTCTTAACTTCCCAGAATACATACCTGGTTCTGCTTGTTCCTCAGGAAGCTGACACGGATGAGAATCAGGGAACCTTAACTTTTGAAGAGTTTTCTGTGTTTTACAAGATGATGTCATTAAGGCGAGACCTCTACTTGCTGCTTTTGAGCTATAGTGACAAGAAAGATCACCTCACTGTTGATGAACTTGCTCAGTTTCTGAAGGTAGAACAAAAGGTAAGCAAGTAAAAATATGCATCAAGATTGCTTTTGCTTTAATCTATAGCAGAATGTCCTATGACTCATGTCTTGTTCAGCCAGCAAAAAGTATTGAGGACAAAAGAAGTTATGTTACGTTTTTATATATATTTTTAAATTGCTCATATGTACTCCAGAATGCCATGACCTGTTTTGGGCATTAAAGTTTAAGAAGGATGTCAGAAAGCTGAAGGGTGTCTGTAAGAGGGCAACCAAGATGGTAAACATCTTGAGAACTGAGCCTTATGAAGGAGTTGGGTACATTTAGAAAAGAGAAAAGTAAGAAAAGATAGGTAGCCATTGTTGAATATTTGAAGAGTGGTGATGTGGAGGATGGAGCAAGCTTTTTTCTTGTGGCTCCAGAGAGCGGAACCGCAAGTAATGGATTCAAGAAAGGGTATTTTAATGAAATATTAGGGAAATGTTTCTGGCAGTAAGAAGTGCTCAACAGTGGAATTGGTCTGCTTTGGATGGTTGTGGATTCTCTTTTGTGAGAGATCTTTAAATAGTGCTTGGGAGGCCATGTGTCATGGATACTTTCATGACTGATTCCAGATTTGTGAGATTTGTCCAGAGCTTCCCAGTATAGGTGTATAGTTCTATGACTCTGTGATTTCCCCTGATTTTTGGATCTATGGAAACTGTTGACATCTACAGTGGTGCCTCGCATAACGAGCACCCCGTTGAGCGATCAAAGCGCTTAACGGGGGGCTCTGGGCCATCGCTGGAGCATTCGCTCAGCGATGGCCCCTATGGAGGTTTTTCACATTGCGATATTCTCTAAGCGATTTGCTTAGCGAATATCACGTAATGAAGTGGGGGAGAACAGCTGATCGGCGGTTCCAAAATGGCCACTGGAAGGTCCGCGCCGCATTTTTGCGCCCTGCCCTCGCTTACCGAGGGTGCGAAAATGGCGGCGCTATGGAAGAACTTCGCACAACGGTGAGTTTTCAAGCCATAGGAACTATGGCTTTTTTATTTCCGCACAGCAATGTTTCCCATAGCGAGGGTTAATCCGGAACGGCACCACTGTATATTGAAAGCACAGGATATCTTTTTAAATTGCTCCTGCTGCTTATTTTACTTCCAAACTGATTTACGCTATGCGAGGCACCACTGTATATCGAAAGCACAGGATATCTTTTTAAATTGCTGCTGCTGCTTATTTTACTTCCAAACGGATTTATTTTTATATGTACATTTGTGTTACACATGTCCATAAATATTTTCTGCAGATGTATGCTTAACTGTGATATCAATATACATTTTTTTTAAAAAAAGATTTAAAAGCATACTGTATAATCAGACATTCTTTTCATGTCCAGTAACTGAAATCAGTTTAGGCATAAACCTGTGGGTATTTTTAAAATGTGCTCCCAGTCTAGGTAACAAAATGCCTGTGCCTTGTTAACATGGATTATGTTCTACCACATATGATCTTATTCTGTTACCATTTGGATCTGACTGTCGAAAAGCACAGAGCTAAAAAGTGGTGGTTTTGCATAATGGCAAGGAGTGCCAGGTGAAAGAATTCAACAGCTCTTGGAGCTTTATAGCTGACTGGTTCCCTGGGATCACATGATTTCCAAGCTCAGGAGGCTTCTGGGCTGCGAGGCTGGCAATTCAGCTAAAATGCAGTGGCCTTTCAAATTATCTCAATGGGTCTGGTCCATATCTGATTTAAGTCATGACTGGAATTTACTCCGGTACCATTGTGTACTTCCTAGTACATGAAACTGCCTAATGTTTCATTTAGCATGAAAGGTGCTCCTCTACGTTCCATGTAACCATCTAGAATTAGAAGGAGTGGTGACACGGAAAATGTTTTTCTCCATCGTAACACTTCGGAGCATAGACTATCTACCGCAGAAAAGTACACATTTGCCAAAGTTGATGTCCTTTTAGCAGGCATAGAATTCCTTTATTTTGCTCTAGAATCTCAGCATTTCCTGGGCCGGTCAATTGAATTTTTAATGGCTTCCGCTGGATTGTATGGATTACTGGGCTTTGCCTGCAACTTTCATAATTTGTATTGATTTTTACATGGCATTCTACTGTATTATTTTTATTGTTCCTAGGATTCTTGTGCTGAAAGATACCCTATACTGTTGCAAAATGAATCAATTGGGAGAATGTCCCTTTCTCCATTGTTTAAAAAAAAATAGTCTCTAACGGCTAAGAGAGGATTCTCATATTACCAAAGACGGGGAAACACCTTTATAAAAAAATAATGTATACATACTCATTAGTTATCAGACTTCTTTCTGTTAAGTAGAAGGAGGAAAAAGCATAGGAGACGCCAGCTTCTGAGTCCTCTGGGAGGCTGACTGAAGGCTTGATAGATACGCCTTAGGGCTCCAGTCAATATACACTGTCAACACCTGTTACACATAAAAGGTATTTTGTTTCCACCGTGCTCCTGGTTCTACTTGTCATCTGTTGTTCATTGCCAATACATTCGTCAGCTGTTAGACACCCAGCCTGTCTGTCCCTATACCAGTTATGTAGATCCCTTTGGAGTGTACTCATGCAAGAGAGTACATTGTGTCCATTACTTCAGCCTGGATCAGTGGCTTTGAGGAACACCTGCTGTCCATTCATTCAAAGGCCTCCATGCACGTTCTGCGTTATGACCTCCTTTCTGGAGACAAGAATGGGTTCCGGTGGAACGGACAGCTCATTGATCCTTGAAGTACTTCCAGTGAGAAATACAAGACATATGAGAGACACAGAGGAATATAGAATGTACACTGTTCAGTAATGGGAAGTCACCGGAGCTTGAAGGCTCTCTCTCAAACACACACTGACCAACAGTGAAAGCTGTAAGGCCTGGGTAGATAGACTTCAGTAGTGGGCGATGTGCCTCATTTTTACTTGGCTTCGTCTGAGTTTTGGTATCCACCACCCTTGGCTAGTGTCAAATGGGTGGCTTGGAGGTATAGCAAACAGACTGTTCATTTCCTAGAAGGCTGCCTTTTCCTATGTCCACAAGTACCCTGACAAGGAACAAAGGCATCTATGCTTCTCCCTTTCCATTGCTACTAACTCTGCTCTCTTGATCTGCACGGGGAAAAAAAGAAGTGGTAGGGAAGAGAACTCAGCCGGGAAACTGAAAATTCATTTCTGAGAAGAAAGAGATCTAAGCTTGAATAGACTAGAATTTGTTTAATCCAGCAAGGCACCCTTCTACTGTCTTCTTCTTGATTTTAAAATGGCTATAGAAATAATGAAAAACTGTGCGGAATGGATTACTACTGCACAGCAATTGGCTAGGAGACATTACAAAAAGACAGAACACTTGTGTTTAATCCTTTTTTATGAATGAAGGATTACGGTTTTCCTGTTTTGCATATCAAGAGATTTCTTTAACTTTACTTGAGAGAGCTTTTTAAGAACATCTGAAGTAGCAAACTAAGGCCAAGTTTCCTTTTCTGTACCTTCCACTGAATTTCTCAGCAAAAGTCAGGGTCATTTACGTCAAGAACTGAAGATGAAGGATAAATACAGTGGTGCCCTGCATGACAACGATAATCCGTCCCATTGAAATCACTGTTTAGCGAAATCGTCATCATGTGAAAACCCTTTCCCCATTGGAATGCATTGAAACCCGGTTTAATGTGTTCCAATGGGGAAAATACCTCATTGTCCAGCGAAGATTGCCCATAGGGAAGCCATTTTGCGAGCGCCGATCAGCTGTAAACATGGCTGCCCTGCGAAGCATGGGTCCGGAAAACACAGGGCAGCTATTTTGCAAAGCCGACAATCATCTGAAAAAATCATCGTCTTGCAGACAAACAGTTCGCAAAGCACGGACCTATTCAACATCCAGCGAAAATCCCCCATTGGAATGATTGTTTTCCAAATCTCTATAGCCATCGCAAAAAGTCATTGCTATGCAGATTCATCGTTTAGCAGGGTCGTCGTCTTACGAGGTACCACTGTATTTTCTAATCCCTTGGCTAGGATGTTTGAGATTTATAAGGACTAAATGAGAGCTTGTTATATGGCCTTCATGATGTGCGGCTTCCCGCTTGTGTGGTTTTAGTATGGAAACATATGTGTCTGAAATGGCATTTTCCTATTACTCTTAGATTGCTAGTTTTAGTTTATGCTTCCTAATTCCACAGTCTTTTTAAAAGCACTTTTCAGACTTCTCACTCTTTGTTCTTGGCTCAGAGGACTTTAATAATGATAATAATGGTTACAGAAAAGTGTTTTGCTCAGAGTTTGACATGCTGAATAGAGAGCCATTAGGTAACTTTCCCTTGTACTTCCCAGTCCCTTCCTGAAACAGACAGTCCATGATACCTTCTACCAGCTTGTGTTCTGGTCTGCTGGTATCGTCCCTGAATGCCAGATTGGTAGGTAATAGAAGCTCTATCATGCATGACTTAGTTGTGAATGAAGCGGCCATCCTGTCTTGTGTGTCTGAAACCTGAGTTGATGAGCTGAGGAATGTTAATTGCTTTCAGTTACGGTGTTCTAGTTTGTCTGTTTCTGCTGCATTCTAAATGTATTTTATTGTAACTGTGTTTTTTAATTTGGTTTCATATTCTATGCTAAGCCAGGGAACTATTGCTATAGAGTGGGTTGTAAATTTAATGAATAAATAAATATTTGCAAGGAGTGATTTGACCCTAGGGCTTCAATTCCAGTCTTTCTAGATTACACATTTCACTCATAGCGTACTTCATACCATTCTTCTCTGGGTGGCTGATTACAACACTTTTAGAAGTTCCAAGATGCTCTGCAGAAGTCCAGTTAATGAAAAATTTTTGGACCAGATGCTGTTTCTTGTGTTCGTTAATTTTACTCCCTCACATGTCATATTCTCATCATTCTGCTTGTTCCATTAAGAGAATTTGATTTAATTTCAGTTGTGTACTGCTGACATTATTTCATGGTATGCTCTCTCTTTCTGTTTCCAATGTGCTTAGAAGGAATAAGTGTCAACATTAATACTAATCTCATGAGTTGAG